TTATCAGTGTGATCGAATCCGGTGATGGCGGCGAGGGTGTGTGTTGGGCGGCCGGGGGGCGTGTGTTGGGCGGCCGGGGGGTGTGGGAGGGAGGGAGGGTTGGTATTAGGTATCAAAGGGTAGAATAGGTCGGAGGTCACTATCAATAACACATCCCTACGTCTCCTCTCCTCACCCCTCCTCTCCTCACCCCTCCTCTCCTCCACCCCTCCTCTCCTCACCCCTCCCTCTCCTCCCTCCTCTCCTCATCCTTACCTCCCTCTCCCTTCTCCCCCCCCGTCCTAACACACACTACAAACACCTGTCATAAACCACACCATAACAAGTGCTCTCCTCCTCACAACACCTGCGGTAACAAATGTTTACCCTGGGTCCAGCCAGAATATTGAGGGAAAAACATTTGTTATCCCCGTTTGTTTACTGTGTGGGGTGAAGGGGGGTGAGGAGGGAGGGTGGGAGGGAGGGAGGGGGAGGAGGAAGGGCGAGGGAGGGGGTGGAGGAGGAGGAAGGGGGAGGGAGGGAGTGAGGGATAGAAGGGTTCTTTGTAAATGTGTCAGTCAGGTCGAATTCTTTAGGGATATTGTCAGTATTTGTGTGTGTGTGTGTGTGTGTGTGTGTGTGTGTGTGTGTGTGTGTGTGTGTGTGTGTGTGTGTGTGTGTGTGTGTGTGTGTGTGTGTGTATGTGTGTGTGTGTGTGTGTGCGTGTGTGCAGACCAACAATTATTTTTAACGTCACTGAGGAAAGGAAAAGAAGGCTACTCCGGACACTATATAAACAGCACAGTAGCTTCTCTTTACTAAACCATAACACCACAGTGAGTCAGCAGCATCATGGAGAGAGAGAGAGAGAGAGAGAGAGAGAGAGAGAGAGAGAGAGAGAGAGAGAGAGAGAGAGGGAACACGATAGGTAAAGACAAAACATAAATAATCATCTCAATTTATTATTTACACCGTGAGATATCGTTCAAGAGTCATGTCAGCTGATCACCAACCATAACACTGTCTTGACTTGACTACCATAGGACTTTAATGCCATATCAATACATTGTTTATATGGTGGGGATTATAACACGATTATAATGATATAAGAAAGCTTAATCTGACTCATATATTAGTGTATTCGTTGTGGCTAAGTTATATTAGGTTCTAAGAATGATGAAGGTATGAGTAACTATCAGTGGAGTGAAGCAAGGGAGGGACCTGTCGCCCCTTATAGCTCAGGGATATATGGGAGTATTTATAAGCACAGGGTCAACACTACCACACAAGCGGGCAATGACAACAATTCTCTATGGACGATTGGACGTAACAAACTGCTCCAACAATAAAAAAATATACATATTAAAACATATATATTGATTGTTAGTTGAAGGACAGATGAAATAAACATTGAAATAGATGGAAAACAACAATAACAACAACAATAACAAACAAACAAAAATAAACAACAAACCAAACAATAAACAAACAAACAAACAACAACCAACAACAATCAAACAGAAGGAGATGAAATAGGAAATAAAAGACTGGAAGAGAGTGTTGGTACAAAGTCTGTGTATAATGGGAAGGATTGAGTGTGTCCAGGTACAATGGCTGGTCACGTCCAGAGGGGATGAAACACAACTGCTGGGAGGTGTTGGAGTGTTGCAGGTGTGGGAGGTGTGGAAGGTGTGGGAAGAAGGTGTGGGAGGTGGGAGGGAGATGTTGGAGTGTTGCAGGTGTGGGAGGTGTGGGAAGAAGGTGTGGGAGGTAGGAGGGAGATGTTGGAAGTGTGGGAGGTGTGGGAGGGAGGTGTTGGTGGTGGGAGGTGTGGGAGGTGTTGTTGGAGTAGAATTGTACTAATACACACACACACACACACACACACACACACACACACACCAAGAAGTGTTTCCCCAGCTGAGAAAATGTCAACAAACTGCCAGACGTGTGGTGACGTGTAATGACGCATGATGAACGTAATTATTCCAGCTAACATCATACTTTTATTTATGTTTGTCAGACTAACACACATTCAGACCTAGACTAAGACACAAACCTTTATATTCGTAAATAAAATAAAATAAAATAAAATCATCAGTGTAGCTTTTCCGGTGTGTCAAAAGGGCTGAATTAGGTTATGATGATACAGACAGTTGCTCACAGTGACTCGTTAATCAGCTCAGGCGACAGTAATGTGTCTTAATTACCTCTGATGAACACTTCTTTACTATCACTCCCCGCGTCTCACCTGTAATAACACCTGAGTAATTACGGTGATCACTTGACCCAACACACCTGTGGAAGAGTCTCAAGTGTCCGTCTTCATCACCTGGCTAAATGAACAACAATATTTACCTGAGGAAAATAATAGTATAGTTGTATAATATTCTGGCCACCATCTTTATTATGTTAGTTCATTTTAGATATTATTTAAGGGGTTGTGTGTGTGTGTGTGTGTGTGTGTGTGTGTGTGTGTGTGTGTGTGTGTGTGTGTGTGTGTGTGTGTGTGTGTGTGTGTGTGTGTGTGTGTGTGTGTGTGTGTGTGTGTGTGTGTGTGTGTGTGTGTGTGTGTGTGTGTGTGTGTGTGTGCAATAATATGTAATAATTAACGGTTTATTGAAAGAGCATGGCTGCCGGAAGGCTGTGTCAGGATTCAGGTTCATTTCGGCTTTATACCAGAGGGCCGCTGAAACAACAACAACAAGATTAACTATAAAACAAACAAAGCAGCAATAAGATCAAGATAACAAAAACAATAACAACAGCAATAATAACAACAAGAACAGCAACAAGAGAGAGTTAGCCTGAATACAAATGTTGTTGTGGACATCTGTTGCCACGGGAAGGGGAGGAGGGAGGGTGGGATAGAGAGGGAAGAGGAAGGGAGTGGTGGGGGATCAGGGAGATGATGGGGTGGAAGGGAGATCAGAAAGGGGTAGTGAGGGGAAGCAGTGTAGGGGAACAGAAAGGAAGGGGTGGAAGGGGACAGGAGGGGAGTAGAGAGGTGAAGGAGTGGGTAGACGGGAGAACAGGTGGGAGTAGAGAGGGGCAGCAGGTGGGGGGTGGGGTGCAGTGAAGCCGTGAGAACATCAGGAGAACAATGTACAGGTAACACAGGTGAGGCAGAAACATGTCCTGAGAGCTGCCTGGATCCTGGAGCCTGTCGGACACTGTGTGGGAGGGGAGATAGTGAGGGAGGGGGGAGAGGAGGCGATGGGAGGAGGAGGCGATGGAAGGGGACGGGGGCGATGGAAGGACGGGAGGCGATGGAGGGGACGGGAGGCGATGGAAGGGACGGGGAGGGCGATGGAAGGGACGGGGAGGCGATGGAAGGGACGGGAGGCGATGGAAGGAAAGTCGAGGAAAGATAAAAAAACAAAAGGAAGAAAAATAAAAGGTAGAAAGGGGATGGAAGAGAGAGGGGGGGGGGATCAGGTGAGGGTCTTACCTGCAATGCCTACCTGAGTGGAGATGGTGAAGAGAGACATTGCTTTGTTCCTCCTCCCACACTACCTGCCGCTGTTCCTGTGTGTGTGTGTCGCTCTATTGTAAGTGGGGCGTCGAGGCACCTGTGGTCAAGGGGGGGGATATACATACATACATACATACATACATACATACACAACTCGGTAGGGGTTATGGGACTCTTTATCTCTTCGGTTCAGTGACGAAAAAAACCAAAACATCAACAAAACAGCAAAACAAAATGGACGACACTACTAGAAAAAAAAATCAATCATTGTTCTGTATATTAACAAAGGATTCGTCATATCTTTCTCTCTCTCTCTCTCTGTGTTCTAGATACTCGTGTGGTAAGTTGTCTGTTGTCTTAAAACTTATCTACGAAAGGCTGGGAGTCCATACCTCTTGTGTTACTATATCATCTACCAGAAACTATTCCCCTACACCTCCCTCATACCTCATACCTCATACCTCATACCTCATACCATATCTCGAGTATTCTTAAAGTGGAGTGGGGGGGGGTGCCTCGGTGAACACTTGTCTGATCTCACACACACACACACACACACACACACACACACACTCACACACACACACACACACCTGAAAGAGTCTGGTGTTAACAACGAGGGTGAGTGAAGGTAAATGTAACCAGACGGTGCAGCTGATGGCTCAACCGTACACGAATAACCATCCATGGCTCTACTACTGATCTCTCTCTCTCTCTCTCTCTCTCTCTCTCTCTCTCTCTCTCTCGCATACAAATCAAGGACAACACCCAAGAAATATACCTTTAAAATTGGTTTCTCTTCCAATACCTGTCACCACTCGAGACCTTATGACTCTCCTCTCTACAGCTGTGTAATAAACCGTAATGATGCGCCGTGTAAAGGTTCAGGTAGTTACAGGTAAAGGGAAAAATTACCTGTTAACGTTTAATGAGCAAATTAGGCGTTCGTGTTTAATGAAGAACATGTAATATTTGTTGACTTTAATTGGGTATTGATGACTGTGTGTGTGTGTGTGTGTTTGTGTGTGTGTGTGTGTGTGTGTGTGTGTGTGTGTGTGTGTGTGTGTGTGTTTCTCGATGACGTTAAAGACAAGAAAAAAAATCATACCAGAGTTCAATTCAAAAAACCTTCAAGGTTTATTGGTAAAAGTTATCCTCCCTCCCGGGTGTCTGAGCTCAGGTATCTCTAAACTATGTCTAAAATTACCTGAGGGATGAACTTACCTTTTTCTTAATTAATAGGTGTTTGAGCCAGACCAGTAGGTAGAAAACTGTGTTTATTGTACACAGTGTTGAGAAAGCTCTTGTTTACTCTCTGTCTCTGTCTGTCTGTCTCCTAAGTCCATCTTTATCATTACCATATACATCATAAACTTATCAACTGTTTATTACCCACCATATTCATCAGTCCTTGCTCCCCTCCTCTCCCCTCTCCCCTCCTCTCCCCTCTCCCCTCCTCTCCCCCCTCCTCCCCAAGCCTTCAACTGGTAATCATTTAATATTCCAATTATAATGCCTTGATTATCCCTCCTTTTTTTTCCAGGACAGTCGCCACCAGATGATCAGACCTTTGGAATCTCTTAAATCACGGTAGAGAAGACGGTTCTTATTCCCAGGATGGTCAAGGACAAGGAGGGTAAAATTATTAAGTGTGTATTAAGTTACCGGTAATGTTCCTCGTTAATGAAAGGATTCCATATAAGAAGTTTTGAAGATTAAAAGGACTGAACACTGTTATTTGGTGAAGAGATTGGGTTAATTGAGGAAAGTAATTAGAGGAACTGTACGATGAATAATTACGGTGAATCTGTTTGGGTTGTTAAATATGGCCGGTGTGTGGTTGCCAGGGAACGAGTGTGAGAGGTGAGGGTAATTCGTCTTCCTCTGAACAGGAGTGTATGACAGGTATTGATCACAGGATTACGGGTCTCTACCTCCCTCCTCCCTCCCCCTGAACGTGTGTGTGTGTGTGTGTCGCTCATCGCACATAGACAAGTTTAATATTCTCGTTAAGGACACACGAGGACGAGACCGTGTGTCCTCGAACTAACTAAAGGACGAGGCCACAAGAGGAGACTCACCCTCTCATTAGCCACTATCGTCTCCAGAAGCCACCACGATGACCTCTGAGGGCTCTTCCTACCAGATCATCTACGACGCCGCCACCAACATGAGCTATATCAACCTGGACCTCGCGCCTCTCAACTGCTCCTACCTCAACTGGACGGAGGGCCTCAACGTGAGCAACTGCAGCGGGGAGGTGTTCGAGGGTCGGGTCTTCCCCATCCTCAACGAGACGGTGCAGAGGATGACGCTGCTCTTCCTGGCTCTGGCGTTCATCCTGGGTCTGTGCGGCAACACCCTCGTCATCTACGTCGTCGCCAGGTTCTCCAAGATGCAGACGGTCACCAATCTGTACATCCTGAACCTGGCTATAGCGGACATGCTCTTCGTCGTGGGGATCCCCTTCCTCATGACCACCACCGCCATGGAGTACTGGCCCTTCGGCTTCGTCATGTGTAAACTGTTCATGATCACGACGTCCCTCAACCAGTTCACCAGTTCACTCTTCCTCACCATCATGAGCGCTGACCGGTACATCGCCGTCTGTCACCCCATCAGCGCCCCCAAGTTCCGGACGCCCATGATCTCCAAGCTGGTCTCCCTGACGGCCTGGATGATCTCCGCCCTCATGATCATCCCGGTGTTCATGTACTCCAACATCCTGAATGACAGTAACGAACAAGCGAGCTGCAACATCTACTGGCCAGACTCAGTGGGTGTCAATGGCCACACCGCCTTCACCATCTACTCCTTCGTCTTGGCGTTTGGCTGCCCCTTCGCCCTCATCTTTATCTTCTACTCGCTGGTCATCCTCAAGCTGAAGACGGTGGGGGCGAAGACCAAGACAAAGAAGAGGAAGAGCCACAGGAAGGTGACCAAGCTGGTGCTGACGGTGATCACGGCGTATGTGTTGTGTTGGCTGCCCTACTGGGTGCTCCAGCTCATCCTCACCTTCAGTATGCCTAAACAGGTCCAAAGTCGCGTCATGATCATTTTCTTCCTCATCTCCTCCTCGCTCTCCTACATCAACTCCGCCATCAACCCCATCCTGTACGCCTTCCTCAGCGAGAACTTCAAGAAGAGTTTCTTAAAGGCGTGTACCTGCGCCGCCAGGAAGGACATCAACAACGCCCTGGCGGCTGAGAACTCCATGTTCCCCAGGAGACGAGGAGGCTCCTGCAAGCCTCCCAGGGCAAAGGAACCGAAGGAGGTTGCGTCCCACGACGGGTGTGTGAGGGAGGAGGTGATAGTGCCTCTGTCTGCTACACGGCGACCACTGGTGCCCCGCGACGACGCCTTCCTCAACGGCAGACCCCTCACCTCACACCTCTAGACCAGGTGAGTGTCTGTTGCTCCTGTTCTTCTTGTTGCCAACGTGTATGATCCTACTACCACGACCCTACTACCACCCCAACCACTACCCTACTACCACCCCCAACCACTACCCTACTACCAACCCCTCCCCAACCACAGACCTACACCACCCCCCAACCACTGCCCTACTACCACCCCCCAGCCACTACCCTACCAGCCCCCCCAGCCGACCCTACTACCACCCCCAGCCTGCCCCTACTACCACCCCCAACCACTACCCTACTACCTCCCTCCCCCCAGCCACTACCCTGTACCACCCCCCAACCCGACCTACTACCCACCCCCAGCCACTGCCCTATTACCCACCCCCAACCACTACCCCTGCCTCTCTACCCTCCTTTGCCTTCTACCCTCCTCCTACCCCTCTTCCCCCCACTTCACCACCGTATCTTCCACTGATGTAGCCGATGCAGGAATTAACCTCATCTGCGAAAATCTAGACAAACATTTTTAATTAGTTCTTTCCTCAGGTGTGCTGTGTCCCGGCAACCTTTGTCAGGAATTCCCAGTTGTAAGGTGATTTAGCTGCTCATTAGTGGACGAGATACTTGCCTTACTTAATTAGCTTAGGTACAACACGAATTGATCTTTGTTAAATATACAGGCGA